AGGAAATGAGGAGGTTTGTGATCTCTATATCTTACCTGAATCAGCCTTCATTTCAAGAATTGTTGAGTGAAGCTGAGGAAGAATTTGGATATGATCATCAAATGGAAGCTCTTACTATTCCTTGGAATGAAGATGTCTTCCTAAAAGTCACTTCTTCCTTTAATGGGTGCTATCAAGGAAAACCAACATTAGCTTAGATTAGCCGATACAATTTTGTATAGAAAGCAATTCACATGGTTTTTGCCATGTTAAGACCCCCCCGGGTGCTTTTTCTTCCCTAATTGGGAATTGCAAAACTACTGTCAATGAGAAATTTGTCAATACAATTTTCACGCAATTTCAATCAATTATGATTATCAACGGCTTTGATCTTTTAAATTAGGCGACCATATGTGTTTTCTTGTGGCAGGATTGAGTAGAGTTATATTCCTTAGTCCCGTAATTTCAAATGTGGACCATGAAAATATTTGAGATCTAGCTGCAACGGTTAAATATCTACTTAAACTTATAAATTTTCACTTCGCCGTTTGTCATATTTTTATGGAAGAATATGATACACGCAACTTAATTCAGTAGCCACAACGCACCAAAATCCATAAAGAAGCAAAGTGGACCAAGAAAGTTCAATTTAGTTCACATAGTCTTGCCGTCGATCGAACGGAGTCCACATAATTTTACAAATTGAGATCATATCATTGAAGACAACAACATAAATGATGCTACACCTTCTTTGTAAATTATAATTATTCAGTTGAAAATAAAAATTAAGAAATTATAGATTTTTCCTAGGAAATAAAAATGAATTATTTTGGGCTTAAAGTACATCTATCACCCATAAGTATTTTTTTCGGGTATATCTAGCACTCTAAAATATTTTGCAGTGCATTAGTATCATGAAGTATTTTTTAAGTTTGTTCAATATCTTAAATTATATTTTGATGCATCTAGTACCTAAAAAGTACTTTTTTCAAGGCGTCTAATACATCCAAAATCTTTTTTGGTACATCCAGCACCCTAAATTGTTGAGTGTAAAATTTCATTAAAAAATATTTTAGGGTGGATTCACCTTAATCAGTTATTTGCCGTATCAAATAAAACTTTTTTGAAAAATTATTCTTGACGCTACATCGGGAATCTTAAGCACCGGGAGTCTGGGACTTAGTCAGCATTGTTTATTCGCTTACCCTTAGTTACTGGATTAGAAAACTGGAACTGTAGTACTGTCTTTCTACTATGTTTAGTATATTGATCTTTTTATTAAAAAAAAGTAATAAAAATGAAAGTGGGAGCCTCAAGTTAATGATGTTTATATTAAATATGCATGTATATCTACGATCACTTCTCTAGGAAAGCCACTCAGGGGGCTCACTTTAATACCCTCTTAGAGAGAAATCTGAAATTGAATATAATTACTAGGTGAGAATATAACTTTTTATCCCAATTTTCCAAGAAGATTAAAAAAAAAAAGTACAACTCGTAGATGCCTAACTATATATTCAATGCCTTCAATATTGACAGTTGATTGAGATAACGTGAAAAATGTCTATTCATCAACTTTTCTGAGATAAACAATTTTTTTCACTTTCCAATTAAGGGAAGAAAAAGAACAAAGATCTTTACAAAGCAAGGATCGATTACAAAATTGTGTGTGTACGTGGACTAATCTAATCTTGTCTTGGTTAGCTAGCACCCACTAAAGGAAGAAGTGGTTTTCATGAAGACATATTCTGTGCAAGGAATAGTAAGGGCACCCATTGGGTGATCAAACCCGAATTCTTCGTCAGCTTCACTTAACAGCTCTTGAAACGAAGGTTGATTCAAGTATGATATGGGGATCACAAACCTCTTCATTTCCTCTCCGACATATACTGCGAGATACCCCTTTGGCACTTCACCAGATTTTGAAGCAAGTTTTGTACCAAATGAAGCCCTCTTGATTTTAGGTAGACGGAAACCCATTGCTTGTTGTGTGTAAGAAGAATAAGAAGGAAGGGTTTGAGTATTGATGCCTGAGAGTATTGTGAAAGATTTGTGTTGCTTGCTTCTGAAAGCATACGAGTATATATAGATGAATAGATTTGTATTCCTACAATCATTGGTGGTTTAGAAGTTACATGATAGAGCCTAGCTGTTGAAAGACAAAGGCACCATCAGTTCACATGGATGTGTCTTAGAGGTCATTTTGTAAAAGCAACAAGTCAAGATGGGCCAAATAATGAAGGGAGGACTTGGATATGACCGCTAAAGATCTAAAATGAGTTGTAATCCAGACCTGAGACATGGATAAGGAAAACCACATGATTCTGTTTTATGTTCAAGAAGAGACTTAAACTGTTTAAAGCCTTATGTCAAGAACATAAAGGACTGATGAGGATAAGGGAAACGTGAGATATGCCTCAAGCATGTCAAGAAATGAAATTGACAACCATGAGAAATATAAGATCTTGTGTTTGAGAAAGACGTAAAACATTATCATGTGATCCTTCTCATCCATGTCTCTCTCGACTACGTCGCTTAACTGACCCTTCCTCAATCATATCTCAACCAAAAGGATTTCTGATGTCCTTTCTATTCATTTGGCTGTCATCCTGACATTTGTTTTTGTGAGAAAGACCTCTAAGGCAACTCCGTGTGATCTCTATATGCCCTTGTCTTTCGATAATTAAGTTCTATCATAGAACCTTTCTTCCACCGCTCATCTATATATACTCATACATGTACGCTTTAAGAAGCAAGCAACGCAAGTCTTTCACAATACTCGCAAGCAGCAAAATTACCTAAACACTTCCTTCTTATGCTCTTCTTAGTCACAAACAACAATGGGTTTTCGTTTACCAGGAATTAGGAGGATTTCCTCTGTTGCAAAAGTGAGTTCTGCAAAATCTTGTGAAGTGCCAAAGGGACATCTCGCAGTATACGTTGGAGAGGAAATGAAGAGCTTTGTGATCCCTATGTCATACTTGAATCAGCCTTCTTTTCAAGATTTGTTAAGTGAAGCTGAAGAAGAATTTGGGTTTGACCATCCAATGGGTGCCCTCACTACTCCTTGCACAGAAGATGTCTTCCTAAAAGTCACTGCTTGCTTCAATAAGTGCTGGCTTGCAACGACAGTTTTAACTTAGATTAGTCAATCCAATTTTGTATAGATTTTTCACCTTCTTTTTTTCCCCTGTACGTGTGAAGCGTAAAACTGTTTTGGGTCAGGGATAAAATTATCAACATACAATTTTCATGTGATCTCAATCATCTATGAATGTCGAAGATACTTATCTTTTAGTTGAAGCAACTAAAATTTGTTTTCCCACGGCAAGATTGAGAAGAAAATGTTATATGCTGTAATCCAGTAAATTCGAATCATGGTATTGTTTCAGTGCAAGCAAATTATTAATCCATGGAAACTATTTGGAAGAATTATAAAAATAATAATTTTAACAATAAAAATATAATTTTCTTGGTAAAATTATATTATCTTTAATTTCCATTACAAGTTTAATGGATGACCCAGAGGGTTCCGTTCCTCCAATCGGAAGCATCATAGAACGTTCATAGAGAAGATGCCAGAATGCCACTGAGGGGGGCTGATGAGGGAACATCATTTATGTTTTTGGCTTCGATCAATGATATTATCTCAATTTTTGAAAATATGTAAAAATTCAAAAGGCGGTAACACTTGAAAATCAAATAATATTAGCAACATACATTAACAAAATTAACACATGTATGTAATTTTTAATTTATGAATTTATTTTTAAATTCAAGATTAGAATTAAATTAAAAATTGGTTTCTACATAGGATGGGTTCTTTAATCTTTATAAACTGAGGTAAAAAAAAAATTTAAATCAATTTTTGTACTCGTGATTGGGGCCATAATTTTTATATAATATTTAAACAAGCAATGAAACATTTCAAATTTCATGAACTAAACATTTTTCCCGATGTAATTGATTATCTTATTTTTCTTTAATTTTTTCCTTGATTCTTAATTTTAAAGCAAACTTCGTCCAAACATGCATACATGTTTACTTCAAAATTAACATTTCATAGGTCAATCAAAGTTATGATATGCAATAGGATTACTTTCAAGAGAAGGATACCTATATGTAGGAAAAAAGTTATCATATGCAATAATCAAATGATAGTTATGTTGTGTGAGTATATATATATAATCTTTACAATATCGTAACATTAATATTTAATAAAACATTTAAAGGCCCTTGCAAAATGAAAAATTAAGAAACAGACCTCTGATGAAGCTTCGGAGCATATATGTGTTGCTTGTGAACTCGATTGTTAGGAACATATAATTTTCTTACAAAGAGATAATGACCATAAGAGATCACATGATGTTGTCTTACGAGTACTTTTCAAGGAACTAGATGTTAAGAGATGTATAGTGTATGTAACTATCAAGCCAGCTCACGTAAGAGAGGTGGATTAATAATTTTGAGATCTTCAGGCTGTAAGAGTTTGAACTTGATCTATTTTGTATTTACTTTGATATTTGTGATATTTTTGTGGAAGGTATCATATCGTGTTACTAAGAACTTAATTATTAATTCAGTGACTACATAGCGCACCAAGTCTTTCCAGCTATTAACATAAATGATGTTACATCTTTTTAAGATACAATTATTTTGAAATTAGAATTTAATAGATTTTTGTCAGGAAATATAAAATGAGTGTAAAAAAAATCTTTGTTCCCAAAATCTTCTTAAGCCCCATTTGGAATCTTGAAACTGTGTCTCATGAAGTTAAATCTCAATAGGCAGATGATGCTGATAATGCTAGAGAGAAATCAAGACTACTTGAATTATGAAATTAATGAATTATCATATTTGTTTGCTTAAACTAAAAGTTCAATACAATCGACATTGATAATTCATTGAAATAACGTGAGAATGTCTGTTCATCGATTTGTCAATGGAGATAACAACTTTGCACTTCCCAAGTAGCTAGGGGAAGAAAAAGAATAACAAAAATCTTTACATAGCAGTCGGATCTAAACTGATCCACTTACAAAATTGTGCTTTCTAGTCTGCGTTAATCTTGTCTTTGTCAGCGAGCACCTATCCAAGGAAGAAGCGACAGTAAGAAATATGTCTTCTCTGCAAGGAATAGTGAGAGCGCCCATTGGATGATCATATCCAAACTCTTCCTCAGCTTGGCTTAACAACTCTTGAAATAAAGGTTGATTCAAGTAAGATAACGGGATCACGAACCTCTTCATTTCCTCTCCAACATAAACAGCAAGATATCCCTTTGGTACTTCACCCGCCTTTGAAGAAGCCATTTTTGTAGAAAAGGAAGCCTTTCTAATTCCAGGTAAACGGAAACCCATCTTTTGTGCTTAGGAGAATAAGAAACTGCTCGAAGAACTTAGGTGCTTGAGGATATTGTTGTAGAGTTGTGTTGCTTCTGAAATTATGTATAGGTATATATAGAAGACGAACGGCTTTATTTTCCTGCAATAATTGGCGGATGAGAGACGCTAGCTATGTGATAATGCCTAATGGAAAACAAGGGCTTAGAGTTCACATTGTTGTCGGCTTGGAGGTCTTTTTCAAAAAGAAACAAGGCAGGACGAGTTAAATGAAGAGAGGATTTGGATAGCATTTGGTTAAGAGATGGCTGATACAGAGTGTTAGCTAAATATAAGGAGTACGTAGTACTGTCCTGAGACACGGATGAAGAAATTCACATGATTCTGTTTTCGTGTTCAATTAAGTGATCATTTTGAGCAGCTCAAGGCCTAATGTCTGTTCGAAGAATTTTATATATATTTGTCACTTCAAGTTCTTGATGTTTGAGCAACACTCAAAACACTATCATGTGATACTTCTATTCCATGTCAGTGGATTACACATACCGCTTAACCAACATTTCAGCAATCATATCTCAACCAAATCGATTTCGAAGTCCTCTCTTCAATAGGCTCATACTATTGAAACAGACCTATAAGGCAACTCCATGTGATCTCCGTATGCCCTTGTCGTCCAATAATTAATACCCATCACATAACCTTTCCTCCACAATTCATCTATATATACTCTTGCTTGTATGCTTTAAGAAGCAAGCAACAATACAACAGATCTTTCACAATACTCTCAAGCATCAAAATTATTCAAACACTTCCTTCTTTTTCCATTCATAAACACAGAAAACAATGGGTTTTCGTTTTCCAGGAATCAAGAGGAGTTCCTTTGCTGCCAAAGTGACTTCTTCAAAATTTGGTGAAGCGCAAAAGGGATATCTTGCAATATATGTTGGAGAGGAATTGAGGAGGTTTGTTATCCCTATACCGTACTTGAATCAACCTTCATTTCAAGAGTTGTTAAGTGAAGCTGAGGAAGAATTCGGGTATGATCATCCAATGGGAGCTCTCACTATTCCTTGCGCGGAAGATATCTTCCTAGAAGTTACTTCTTCCTTCAATGGGTGCTAACTTGCAAAGGCTTCATTAGCTTAGATTAGTCAACACAATTTTGTATAGAAGGCCATGCACATAGTTTTGCTATGTATAGATTTTCCTCCTCTTTTTCTTCCCCTATACTTGGGAATTGTATAATAAATTGTATCTGTGAGAGATTTATCAATAGACAATTTTCACACGATTCCAATCAATTATGAATATCAAAGGCTTTGTTCTTCTAGATTTGGCAACAAAGTTTGTTCTCTCGTTGGGTGAGATTGAGAGAAGTTAGGCTATTTAATCCAGAACATTCAAATCAAGATTTAAACGTAGAGATACAAAAGCGCCTTAGTGCAAGCAAGCATTTTTTTTTTTCGTGTTAGGATTAATTAGCTTATAATTTTTCATTAATTCTTATTCTAATTTATTCTTAAAATCCGGCCCCAAAGCATGTGCTTGGTTTCAAAAATAATAGTTAATAGGTCAATCAAAGTTATGATAATCAACTAATTTTCACGTTATACCTTTGCAATATCATCAAATCAATAATACAGATCCATTATCTGGCAAAAAAATTAATAATAATTTTTTCGTAAAAAAATATAACTTAATTAGATGAAGCTTCAAGATGTGTGTGTGTTGCTTATGAGCACAATTTGCTTGCAAAGGGACATGGGCCATATAAGAGGTCACATTACATCGTCTTAAGGGTACATTTCAAGGATGGAGACGTTACAAGGGAGTAAATATATAAATATAAATATATATAGATATATAACTATCAAGCCATAAAACCCCGTGAAGAGTGGATGATGTTCGTTATATTTATTGTTAATAATTAATTAATACCGAAAACAAAATGGACCACAAAAATATTTTTTGAAATCTAGCTGCCAAGGTTAAATTTGAACTTTCAACTTTTTACTTTGACGATATGAAAATTATGATATTATGCTATCCAGAACTTGATTATTATAAATTCAGTGGCCAAAAAGGAACCAAAACCTATCGAGGAACAATTTGTTAAAAGACATAGTGTATATAACATCATTACTAGCAAGCCAGCTCAAATAACGAGAGATAGATTACCAATTTTGAAATCTAGCTGCAAGAGTTTGAACTTTCTTTTTTTTTCCAATTTGTATTTGTGATATTTCTGTGGAAGGTATGCAGAACGTAATTATTAATTCAGCGGCCACCGCGCACCAAGTCTCTCCAGCTACTAATATAAATGATGTTTCATCTTTATAAAATACAACTGTTTTGATATTAAAACTTAATAGATTTTGCTCAGGATCGAAATATAAAATTATTAATGAGTATAAAATAAATGCTTATTTTCGAAATCTTCTTAATGCCCCATTTGAAATCATGAAACTTCGTCTCAGGAAGTTAAAGTGAAAGTGGAAGTCTGAAAATTGTGCTTCGTATGTTGGAAATCAGTTATCTAAATTAAATCTAAAGGGGCAGATGATATTGATACCCCTAGAGCGAAATTAGGACTTCAATTATGAGATTTATTAATGAATATTATTCTTTTCTTAAACTAAAAGTTCAACGTATTTGATATTGATAATTGATTGAGATAACGTGAGAATTTCTATTCTTCGATTTGTCAATGAGATAGATAACTTTGCACTTCCCCGGTAGCTTGGGGAAGAAAAAGAATAACAAAAATCTTTACATAGCAGTCGGATCTAAAATGATCCAATTACAAAATTGTGCTTTCTAATCTACGTTAATCTTGTCTCTGTCAGCTAGCACCTATCCAAGGAAGAAGCGACAGTAATAAATACATCTTCTCTGCAAGGAATAGTGAGAGCGCCCATTGGATGATCATATCCAAACTCTTCCTCAGCTTGGCTTAACAACTCTTGAAATAAAGGTTGATTCAAGTAAGATATAGGGATCACGAACCTCTTCACTTCCTCTCCAACATAAACAGCGAGATATCCCTTTGGTACTTCACCCGACTTTGAAGAAGCCATTTTTGTAGAAAATGAAGCCCTTCTGATTCCAGGTAAACGGAAACCCATCTTTTGTGCGTAAGAGAATAAGAAGACACTGCTAGAGTGCTTGAGGATATTGTTGTAGAGCTGTGTTGCTTCTGAAATTATGTGTGGGTATATATAGAAGATGAACGGATTTGTTCTACTACAATAATTGGCGGATGAGAGGCTATGTGATAATACCTAATGGAAGACAAGGGCTTAGAGTTCACATGGTTGTCACCTTGGAGGTCATTTTCAAAAAGAAACAAGGCAGGACGAATTAAATGAAGAGAGGATTTGGGTAGCCATTTTGTTGAGAGATGACTGACAGAGAGGGTTAGCTAAATATGAGGTGTACGTAGTCCTGTCCTGAGACATGGATGAGGAAATTCACACGATTCTGTTTTTGGGTTCAGTCAATTGATCACTTGAACAGCTCAAAGCCTAATGTCTATTCGAGGAATTTTACACATATTTGTCACTTTAAGTTCTCGACATTTGAGCAACACTTGAAACACTATCATGTGATACTTCTTATCCATGTCAGTGGACTACACGTACCGCTTAACCAACATTTCAGCAATCATATCTCAACCAAATCGATTTCGTGGTCCTCTCTTCAATAGGCTCATACTATTGAAACAGACCCCTGAGGCAACTCCATGTGATCTCTGCATGCCCTTGTTGTCCGATAATTAAAACCCATCACATAACCTTTCCTCCACAATTCATCCATAGATACGTATGCTTGTTTGCTTTCAGAAGCAAGCAACAACACAACAGATCTTTCACAATACTCTCAGGCATCAAAATTATTCAAACACTTCCTTCTTTTTCCATTCATAAACACAGAAAGCAATGGGTTTTCGTTTTCCAGGAATCAAGAGGAGTTCCTTTGCTGCAAAAGCGGCTTCTTCAAAATCTGGTGAAGTGCCAAAGGGATATCTTGCAATATATGTTGGACAGGAAACGAAGAGGTTTGTGATCCCTGTATCATATTTGAATCAACCTTCATTTCAAGAGTTGTTAAGTGAAGCTGAGGAAGAATTCGGGTATGATCATCCGATGGGAGCTCTTACTATTCCTTGCACGGAAGATTTCTTCCTAGAAGTCACTTCTTCCTTCAATGGATGCTAACCTGCAAAGGCAACATTAACTTAGATCAGTCAACACAATTTTGTATAGAAGGCCATTCACATAGTTTTGCTATGTATAGATTTTCCCCCTCTTTTTCTTCCCCTATACTTGGGAATTGTCTAATTAATTGTGTCTGAAAGATTTATCAATAGACAATTTTCACACGATTCCGATCAATTATGAATATCAAAGGCTTCGATCTTCTAGATTAGGATACAAAGTTTGTTCTCTCGTTGGGCGAGATTGAGAGGAGAGTTATGCTATTTAATCCAATACATTCAAATCAAGATTTAAACGCAGAGATACAAAAGCGTCTAAGTGCAAGCAAGCACTTTTTTTGTGTTAGGATTAAATGGCTTACAATGTTTCATTAATTCTTACTCTAATTGATTCTTAGAAAAAATAACCATCCCAAAGCATATGCTTGGCTTCAAAAATAATGTAATAGGTCAATCAAAGTTATGATAATAAACTAATTTTTATGTTATACCTTTACAATATCATCAAATCAATAATACACATCCGTTCTCTGGCAAAACAATCAATAATAAGTTTTTTCCTGGAAAAAAAAAACGTCATAACTTAATTAGATGAAGCTTCAAGATGTGTGTGTGTTGCTTATGAGCTCAAGAGTAAGGAATACAGAATTTGCTTACAAAGGGACAAGGGGCATAAGAGATCACATGACATTGTCTTATGGGTACATTTCAAGGATGAAGACGTTACAAGGGAGTACACACACACACACAAATCTCAAGCCAACTCACATAAGAGAGATATATTAAAATTGATAGACGCTATATATGTAAATGCGTCGAGACAAATCACAAAACCGTGTGAAGAATAGATTATGTTCGTTACATGGTATTGTTGATAATTAATTAACACCGAAAACAAAATGGACCACAAAAATAGTTTTTCGAAATCTAGCGGCTAAGGTTAAATTTGAAACTCCAACTTTTTACTTTGACAATATGAAAATTATGATATTACGTTACCCAGAACTTGATTATAAATCCAGTGTCCACAAAAGGAACCAAAATCTATCAAGAAACAAAGTGGACAAAGAATGAAGTTTAATTTATAAAATTATTCCGAGATCAAATGAACCATCTTTTGAAAATTCTTCTTAGTGCCTCATTTAGAATCTCAGAACCGGGACTTATTAGGAAGTGAAAGTGGAGGCCGGAAAATTATGCGTTGGAGATCATTTCGCTAAGGAAGCCACTTACGTATGAAGTTGATACCCGCTATCAGAATTCACGATTGGAATTACAAGATTAAAGAACGTAATATTTTTTCTCAATTTCACCAAAAGATCGTTTAAAAAAATACTATTCATTGTCATCTAAAGTGAAAGTTCAACGCTTTTGATATTGATAATTGACTAAGTGGAAACTTCTATTGAGGTAAACAATTTTTCACTTCCCAAGTAGGGGAACGAAGAGAAGAACAAAATCTTTACAAAACAAAAGGATCCATTACAAAATTGTGCTGACTAATCTATGTAAGTCTTATCTTTGCCACCTAGCACCTGCGGAATGAAGAAGTGACATTGAGGAAGATGTCTTCTGTGCAAGGAATAGTGAGGGCGCCCATTGGATGATCATATCCAAACTCTTCCTCAACTTGGCTTAACAATTCTTGAAATGAAGGTTGATTCAAGTAAGATATCGGGATCAAAAACCTCTTCATTTCCTCTCCCACATAGACCGCAAGGTATCCCTTTGGTACTTCACTTGATTTTGAAGAAGACCTTCTGATTCCAGGTAAACGAAAACCCATATTTTTGCTTATGAGAATAAGAAGAAAGTGCTCAACTACTTTAGATGCTAGAAGATATTGCTGAAGAGTTAAGTTGTTTCTGAAATGCATGGAAGTATATGAGTATATATATAGATGAATATAATGGACTTATTTTCCTTCAATAATTTGAGAGGCTATGTGATAATGCCTATTGGAAGACAATTGCACTTTGAGATCACATGGATGTGTCTTAGCAAGGTCCTTTTCAAAAAGCGACAAGTCAGGTGCGAGCCAACCGAAGAGAAGACTTGGATGCCAATTATGCTGGGATATGACATCGATAAAGGGTTCGTTAAATGGGGTCAAGTCCAGTCATGACGTATGGATGAGAAAAATCACGTTTCTGATTTTTCGTTGAAGAAGGATCACTTGGACACTTCATAGATATATGTATCTGAAAAATTTTATAGTTGTCATTTTAAGTTCTAGACATGCTTGAGACAACTTTTATGGTTCCTTTTCATCAATCCGTCTGACACTTAGCATGTGTCTCAAGCATGTCAAGATATGAAACTAACAACCACAAAAACCTTTTACGTAGACATTAAACTTCAAGCAATTCCGGCGGTCCTTCTTGACATTAGAGAAAGACATAAAAATAATATCATGTGATCCTTCTCATCCATATCGATATCTGGACTAAGCCTCTTAATTGATCATTCATCTATCAATCATATGTTCACCAAATGGGCTATGGAGTATTCTTTTCATTTGGCTCATTTCTTTTTTCCCCCCTAAAAGACTTCCAAGACACCATGTGATCTCTTTACGCCCTGGTCTTTCAACAATTAAGCTCTATAACAGAACCAACATTATATTCATCTATATATACTCATACTTGTATGCTTTCAAAAGCAAGCAACATAAATCTTTCACTATACTCTCAAGCATCAATACTCGGACACTTCCTTCTTATCCTCTTCAACACGAAAAGCAATGGGTTTTCATTTACCTAGAGTTAAGAAGACTTCCTTTGCTGCAAAGTTATCTTATTCAAAATCTAGTGAAGTGGTGAAGGGACATCTTGTAGTGTATGTCAGAGATGCAAGGAAGAGGTTTGTGATCCCTATATCATACTTGAATCAACCTTCATTTTAAGAGTTATTGAGTGAAGCTGAAGAAGAATTCGATCATGATCATCCAACGGGTGCTATTACTATTTCTTGTACAGAAGTGTCTTTCTAAAAGTCACTTCTTCTCTCTTTCAATGAGTACTGGCTACAGCTTGCAAAGATAACATTCCCTTAGATTAGCCATCAACTCAATTTTGCGGAGAAGGCCATTTGATGGCAATTTTGCTAGTGAAAATTTTCTTGGGAAGTGTAAAATTGTTCAAGTCGATGAGAGATTTATCCTTAGACAATTTTCACGCAATTTTAATATATTGATTATTCATTAACATCAAAGGCATTGATCATAATATAGGTGAATAAATTAATTTGTTTTGTCGCTGCAAGGTTGAGGAGAGGATGTCAAATTCCTTAATCCAGTAATTTGAAAACAAGATTCAAATTTAGGTATATGGAACGAACCATCTTAATGCCAATGTGGGCTTGGATTATGAAAAGGGCCCTAATGGGCCGGTTACTTTGGGCTTATAATGTATGGGTAGGGCGAGAATGGAGATTGTATATTTGGATAGAAAAAAAAGCTAGTGTGTTTGGGCCCCAAAAAAAACACAGAGAGAGAGAGAGAGAGAGAGAGAGAGAGAGAGGCTAGTCTGCGGAATGAATTATGGAAGTCTCTTCTCCTCTCTTGCGTCCCTCATCTCTCTGGCCAGATGCACTATCATTGTGACTGGATTTGCCCTTATTCTGTGCTTTCTAATTTCTATTGTGTTGGAACTATGCTGTTTTCCTTCGATATTGTTGAACCTATTATATGTACCTGAGCTTGGAGTTTTCATTACAAAAGATTTATATTATTGGGTTGAGTTAATTACTTGGATCAAAGGGAAAGTGTTTTCCAACAATTTTTTTAAAAAAAAATTGAAAACATTATTTGAGGCTAACGGTGTTTGAGTTAGAGAACTAAAAAATATATAAAATTAAGGAACCAAACTAAAATTTATATAAAAATAAGAAATCAAAAGTAAATTTTTGTCTTAAAATAATTAGTGCCAAATTCTGGAAAAAAAAAATTTGGCATCAAAGTTTAAAACATGAGTGTCTAAAGTTGTAATATCAGTATCAAATTATTTAATTATCTTTAATATTCTATTGAGATTTTAGAATTTTTCACTGTAAACTAAAATTAAAATTATTTTTCTGTTTCAAACTTTAATTTCTTAAAGGAAAATAAGGAATTGAGATCTAAACATCAAGAAAGCTGACGTCATTAATAGTGGGATCCTTAGTTACATTGTATGTCTCATAACTGCTAATAATTATTTTAAACACAAAAAGCATACATCTCTTTTCCCCCTCTTTTGGATAAATCCACATGTCAACCCCATGCAGTGCATCAGTAAGTTTTATGGAATCCCACTTTATTTATCTCCTGCCATCCCACCACCTGTAATCCAGGAAAACATAGTTCAATATTATCCCAAAAAAAAAAAAAAAAACGAAAAATGACACTGATGATTTCCTTTCAGGAATTCTCTTCGTCAGAGATGATGATGATGAAAAGAAAATTATTCACTTTTGAATTTTAAAAAATAAATAAATATTTACATATATACCTCACATGGCTTCCAAGTCAAATGCTTTGGCTTCACAAGCAGGCGCAACATCGAACTCAGTTGCAGGAAAATCCTTAGGCTTCCCACCAATGCTGAACTCAACAGTGTTTGACGTCTCATTCATCTTGATGGACACCACAGTCAACCAAAACCCATGTTCCGTCTTCCCCCGGATCCCGTTCACACGGGTCAGCGATCCGTAAGCAAGCCTCGCTCGGATCTTCACACTGTAACGAATGCCCGACGACACAGTACAAGGCTTTTGGAGTTGGACTCGCAGGACGCCATCGTTGGAGACATTGTGGGATTTCACGTTGTCGGGAAGAACACCCTTGGGAAAGCCGCATTTAGTAAGCAAATTATGGACTTTGTCGGCTTCTTCATCAGATCGCAGAGTTAAGGGGCCATCCTCACAGGCTTCTGAAAGGGCTATGAGTATGAGAAGAAGTGAGAAGAAGTGAGAAGAAGCAGAAGATGGAAGAAAGGCGAGTTGATGGAGCCATGGAAGACATTAGAGAACACTCTCTAGAGGCTAGAGCCTATATATCTCTATCACTATATCGGCTTGAATTTCATAATGCTACAAGACGCTCCTTTATATATAGATATAAATAATAATAATAAAGAAGATCATGAAACACACTTCTTGTTTAATCATTGATAATATAATGGGGACCCTTCAACATAACTACACTCACATGGGGATTAAGATTGAGATGGGGTCACAGCAGGACTGACGAGGAGAGATGGCTGGATCAGACACTTATTGCTCTGCTTTTGGAACGAAACAGCAAGGCATGGTGTGTGTAATGATTGAGTAGGCAACACGTTTGCCTCAGATACGCGCTTCAAAAACTCAGCAGTTAGACGTGGATGATATGTGTGTGTGTGTGTATATTTCTGCATCTGAACTAAGAACCATGGAGAGATTGCACAGCAGGGCGTAGGAAACAGTTGGCGCTGAGTTTAAGGCAAGCCAGTAGCCTCAAGTCTCAGTTCTCCACCTCGTAGATTGGAATCAAAGTACATAACAGAGCAAATTAAAAGACTCGCAATTTTGTTTTGGACGAAGGTAAAGTTTTACTGTGGCAAATTGAGCATCCTACTGTAAGAAAGAAAAAATTTATTTACTCAAATGATACAAAATCATAACTATTTATCAATATATATTTTTTCTAATATTGTATAATTATCTTTAGAAAGTATTTATTTGATATTTACAAAGTGATATATTTAATGTCAATATTATGCAAATATATAATTTATTATATTTATTGTGTTTATTTCTCGGTGGCCTAGGAGGTGGGGAATAACTAAAAGAGTGGGGTTGTTGGTGGGTTTTTGTGGAACTGGAAAAGGAAAAAGGTGCCCACATGACACAATTTTTTTAATAATTGTACTGAATTTGGTGTGTGTCAAAAAAAAGTTTAGTCCAAATTTGTTAAAAAAAAAACAATGTTGGAACATAGTTTAATAGATTTCAAGTTAAATTTTGCAGTATATATTAGTAATAATTTCAAGATTATACCATTTGCCTAAATAACCTTTTCCCCTCCCCTTTTTTGATTATCGGGGCAAGATTGAGAAGAGAAAGTTGAATACGTTGCTTCAGAAAATTCAAGTCAAGATTTACTTCATGGGACACAACGGCGTCTCTATGTAAGTGCAAGAAGAATTATTAAAAAAAAAAAAGTTTCATTTGATAGCAAACTAGGGGTGTTCAATTTGTCCCGTCCCGGTCGTCCCGTCCCGGTTCTGGTGAGTTTGGGACGGGACAGGACAGGACGGGACAAAAAAAATTTCGGGACGGGACAAGTACGAGACGGGACGGGACAGTGACCGGGACGGGACGGGACGCGGGACGGGGTTGTCCCGTCCCGTCCCGTCCCGGGATATTTTTTTTTTAAAAAAATTATTTATTAATAATTATTATTATATTATTCAATTTACTTATTAATAATAATTATTATTTTTATAGTGATTTTTAACTCTTAAGTTGTAATATTATCTGAACAATATCTCCTTCCTCAATAAAATAATTCATAAAGCCATTATATAGTGTTTCTTTTATCTGTTTTTTTTGTTACAGTATTGTTTTTATACCTTTTTTATACTATATAATTGAGCTTTCTACATAATATTTTTTATAATGTTTTTATCTTTAAAAGCCTAACAAAAAAATAAGCATTATAACATAAAAAAATTTCATATAAAAAATTATAGTTTTTTTTTTTAAAAAAATGGAGGGGAACGGGACGTCCCGGTCCCGACGGGACCGGGACAAAACCGGGACGGGACGGGACACGGGACTAAAACCCTGTCCCGTCCCTG